TTTTTTTTTTTTTTTTTTTTTTTTTTTTTTGAGACAGTTTTGCCATGTCGCCCAGACTCTGGAGTGCATGGCAAGATCTCGGCTCACTGCAACCTCCACCTTCCAGGTTCAAGTGATTCTCCTGCCTCAGCCTCCAGAGTAGCTGTGATTACAGGCACTGACCACCACATCTGGCTAATTTTTTATATTTTTGGTAGAGACGGGGTTTCACCATGTTGGCTAGGCTGGTCTCAAACTCCTGACCTCAAGTGATCCACCTGCCTCAGCATCCCAAAGTGCTGGGATTACAGGCATGAGCCTCGGCGCCCTGCCAAGTTCTTATAATGTAATTGGATATGTTAATGAGTAACTGAGGAATTGCTTCTAGTCACTGTCAGTTCACCAGAAAGTGCTTCTTTTGAAAAAGAAGTTTTCCTGAACTTCTTTTATGTTTATTTATTTATTTTGAGCCCAGATCTCAACTCTGTCGCCCAGGCCGGAGTGCAGTGATGCCTCCTGGGTTCAAGTGTTTCTCCTGCCACAGGTTCCCAAGTAGCTGGGATTATAGGCTTGCGCCACCATGCCCAGCTATTTTTGTATTTTTAGTAGAGACGGAGTTTAACCATATCGGGGTTTCGCCATGCTGGCCAGGCTGGTCTTGAACTCCTGATCTAAGGCAATCTGCCCACTTCAGCCTCCCAAAGTACTGGGATTATAGGCGTGAGCCACCTCGCCCAGCCCCATTACATTTATTTCTATATCCATTTAATCTCTCTAATTAAATTATGAAGTCTTAGCAAGGAAGATTTGCCATGCTTATGGAATAACACTTTGGTTGAGCATGGGGACAAATAAGTGTATAGTTGGAAAGTAGGATATAAAGCTAGTTTAGGCAGGGCATGGTGGCTCAGCCTGTAATCCTCGCACTTTGGGAGGGTGAGGCAGGAAGATCACTTGGGGTCAGGAGTTTGAGACCAGCCTGGCTAACATGGTGAAATCCTGTCTCTAATAAAAGTACAAAAAAATTAGCTGGGCATGGTGGCAGGTGCCTGTAGTCCCAACTACTCAGGAGGCTGGGGCAGGAGAATTGCTTGAACCCAGGAAGCATAGATTGCTGTGAGCCAAGATCACCCCACTATACTCCAGCCTGGACAACAGAGCAAGACTCCATCTCAAAAGAAAAAAAGAAAAAGCTAGTTGAGAGAGAAAACAGGGCCTTGAATGCAAAGCAATATATTTTTATTTCATTCTTCAGGCAGAGGTATTTCTTCAGGATTTCTTGGCATGGAAATGGTTGAATCAAAGCTTTGCTTTAGAAAAATTAATCTGGCTGCAGTGTCTGACAGATTGGAAAGCGATGATATTGAAAAGAGACATACTGGTCAGGACGTTCAGGAAAACTTCAAGTGAGAAATAGAGCTTTGCCAGTAAAATCAGAAAGTGAGAAACTTAGCCTTGAATGGGGCGAATGGAGTTTAGGAAGGATTGGCAGCCCAAGGTTTAAACCATTCTTCCTCTTTGCTCCAGGTGACCTCCTTGTTGCAGTTGGTTCATTCCTGCAGTGAGCAGTCTCCTCAGGCCTCTGCACTTTACTATGATGAATTTGCCAACCTGATCCAACGAGAAAAGCTGGATCCAAAAGCCCTGGTAAAGCCAATTGTCTTAAAGCAATAAAGCATGAGAGCCCGCTTTACTATATTCTTCAAGTCTTTCTCTCTCTCCAGTGCAAAAATAGAGAGATCATCCTGTGAGAGCTCTTCTAAATTCTAATTGGGAAAGGCTATTCTGCCCTACCCTGCCTCAGGGCTCTTCTCTGAGGCCTCCTTCACTTAGTAACAAAAACAATAGTAAAGAAGAGATTGAGGTTGTTAATGATGATGGCTACCATCTGTCTGAGAGCTCTGTTCTATGAGAACAGAGCCAGAGCCTTGTGCAAGTGTTTTTTATGCATTCTCTCTTTTCTGTTTCACAATAATAGTTACTTCCTTTTTAGAAATGAGGGAACTGAGACTTAGGTTAACAGTGATTTATATGGGGCTCTACAGCAAGTACACCCTCCACTGCCTTTTTTGTTTGTTTGCTTCTTGAAGGAATGGGTTGGGCATACCATCTGTAATGATTTCCAAGATGCCTTCGTAGTGGACATCAGTGTTGTTCCGGAAGGGTAGGTATTGTTTACCTGCTGGCTTGTTTGTACTGGGGAAGTTACATTCTGTCAGTAGCTGATACAAACTTTAGAATACCCTTGACCTCACCCACAGCTACCCACTCCCACAGGTTCTTTCCTCCCAACCCCAGCACCCCTGCACCCTTAGTTCCAAAATTCCTAAAAGGTTCACTGTTCTTCTGTTTCTAATTTCTCCCCATGATAGTTGTGTTTGAAATTGGTTTGCTCTAGTGGTTTCTCCCATAGCCTTGTGTATTCCTGAGCTGCAGCATCAAATTCTGGTTTTTCTCCACAGTGATTTTCCATTCCCTGTGAAAGCTCTGTACGGACTGGAAGAATACGACACTCAGGATGGGATTGCCATAAACCTCCTGCCGCTGCTGTTCTCTCAGGAGTTTGCAAAAGATGGAGGTCCAGTGACTTCACAAGAATCAGGCCAAAAGTCAGTATAGTTTTTCTTTTCTAAACCTGTTAGTGTTTTGAATGTTCACAGGGAATTCCACAGTTCTTTCATCAATATGTGAGGAACTTGAGTCAAAAAGCTTCTCTGGGGACAAATGGTATTTGGAGAGGTTAGGGAGAATGAGGGAGATTCCTTGTTTTTTTCTGGATCCTTGGCTTGAGATTTATAGTACCTTGTGTGAGCCAACAAATATTCTGAGACTACTTTCTCTTCTGTTTCTTATTCTTTCCCCCCCTTGAACATCCTTGGCTACCTCTGCCTCTCTTAACCTTCTCTTTATCTTATTTCTGGTTCTCCTAACACATGGACTTTCATTCCTCATACCTCTGCCTTCCTACAATTCAGCTCATTATATTTATTTTCTTAATGGAGCATCCATTAAGTTCTGGGTGAATCACTTGAGGCCAGGAGTTCGAGGCCAGCCTAGCCAACATGGCGAAACCCCATCTCTACTAAAAATACAAAAATTAGCGGGGCATGGTGGTATCTGCCTATAATCTCAGCTACTCAGGAGGCTGAGGCAGGAAAATTGCTTGAATCCAGAAAGCAGAGGTTGTAGTGAGCTGAGATCGTGCCACTGCACTCCAGCCTGGGTGACAGAGCAAGACTGTCTCAAAAGAAAAAGTTGCACTCCCTATGTGTGTGGAGTAATATACCTACGAAGTGTGGTCTAGAAATTGATTTTTCCTTTTTAGGTTGGTGTCTCCACTGTGCCTGGCTCCCTATTTCCGGTTACTGAGACTTTGTGTGGAGAGACAACATAATGGAAGCTTGGAGGAGATTGATGGTCTACTAGGTATAGGATGAAGTCATCAGATCTTGCTTCTTTATACTCTTTGGTAAACTTAGGGAAAGGGCAGATCAATACATGGTATATGTGGGGAGGAATTTTCTAACTTCAGCAGAGTAGTTTAGCATTGGAATTCCAAAGACAAAATAGTACATACAGAATCCCATTATGTTAACAAATCAATTGTTGCAAAAACTTTCTAATTATGTTTGTTGGTTGCTATATGATATGCAGATATTTTAATCAGATCTGGGCCTTCAAATATGAGTTAAAGGGGAAAGTAAGTAGCAAGGAGAGCTAGCTCTAGAGGTAGCTTCCAGATTTTATTGGCTTGAATTAAAGGTAGTTGGAAATGTTTGTTCTCTCTCAGATTGTCCTATATTCCTAACTGACCTGGAGCCTGGAGAGAGGTTGGAGTCCATGTCTTCTAAAGAGCGTTCATTCATGTGTTCTCTCATATTTCTCACTCTCAACTGGTTCCGAGAGGTGAGCAGAGTTAATAAGATGTTTCATTTATTCTCCATAGTTTTTCTCAAAATTATTTTTTTGGTTCCTGCAAGACTCCCTAACAGTCTCCACCTAGCACTAACCCCTGTGTGTTTCTCTGTTATGTCCCACCACCCCCCAATTAGATATACCTCCTTATGTAGCCAAATCAGAAACTTAGAATTCACTTCACATTGCCTATGCTTTATTTTCTCCAAGCCGCCTTCTGCCTAGAATGACCTCACCTTCTCCACTGTAAAACTACTGGTCATCCTAGCACAGGCATGTGCTTACTGTTTTGATTTTACTGTGGTGGTAGTTTCCCTCCTATTAGAACATATTTCTGTTTAATGATAATGGCAATGATGGCAACATCTTACATCTCTATCTCACTGCCTTCCCCTTACATATTATTTCAGGAATGTTTGTGCATTTGAATGAGCTTCTTTGATTACCACAGCTCTGTTATGATGTGGGCAGGATAGGTATTGCCCTCAATTTACACATACTGAATTTCAAGTATAGGGCGTTCAAAGTCATTAAAAAGTTTTAAGTACTTTCACTATACCAAGTGCTGGACTCATTTTTTTCTGAAGAAATACTTAGAAAGCTTAAAGACTCAGCCAAGGTCACATAGCTAATAAGTAGCAGAATAGAACTTGTTTCATTAAAGTGTGTGCTCTCTGGCTATTCCACCTTGTAACATAACTAGTAATAAGTAAAACTAGGATCTCCTTTTTTTTTTTTTTTAGAAGGAGTCTTTTTGTCTTACCCCCTGCACAATCTTAGCTCTCTGCAACCTCCACCTCCCAGGTTCAAGCAATTCTCGTGCCTCAGCCTCCCGAGTAGCTTGGATTACAGACTTGTGCCACCATATCTGGCTAATTTTTGTATTTTTGGTAGAGATGGGCTTTTGCCATGTTGGCCAAACTAGTCTCTAGCTCCTGGCCTCAAGTGATCCTCCTGCCTCGGCCACCCAAAGTGCTGGGATTACAGGAGTGAGCCACCATGCCTGACTGAATCTCCTGTTTTTGGCCCAGAGATTTCTTTATACCACCTTGCTGAGGACACTTCTATTACAGACTAAACTCAAAAGATCCTGCTGTTCATAGACATCTCTCAGCTCTGGATTAATAATACAAACAAGGTTAATATCTGAACATTTGGAAGTATAAGAATGTAATTTGTTCTTTGCAGATTGTGAATGCTTTCTGCCAGGAAAGATCACCTGAGATGAAGGGGAAGGTGCTTACCCGGTTAAAGCACATTGTAGAACTGCAAATAATCCTGGAAAAGTACTTGGCAGGTAAGGGAAGTGTCCTATACTCATAGTACTGCTAGGCCAGTAGTGAGGTGATAAAGCACTTAGCTTTCCCTGATACCAGAACCAAACAAAGACACATCACAAAAACAAAACTACAGGCCAGTATCCCTGCTGAATATTGATACAAAAATCCTAACAAAATACTAGCAAGCTTAATTCAGCAACACAGTAAAAAGATCAGCGGGGCGTGGTGGCTCATGCCTGTAATCCCAGCACTTTGGGAGGCTAAGGCGGGCAAATCATTTGACGTCAGATATTTGAGACCAGCCTGGCCAATATGGTGAAACTCCATCTGTATTACAAATACAAAAATTAACCAGGCTTGGTGGTGGACACCTGTAATCCCAGTTACTTGGGAGGCTGAGACAGCAGAATTGCTTGAACCTAGGAGGCAGAGGTTGCAGTGAGCCAAGGTCATGCCAGTGCACTCAAAGCCTGGATGACAGAGTGAGGCTCTCAAAAAAAGAAAAAGATCGTTCATCATGACCAAATGGGATGATTTATCCCAGGGATAAATTCAACATACATTCAACATACATTCAACATATATTCAACATACATTCAACATAAATTCAACATACAATAATTCAAAGATTATTCAACATATGTAAATCAACGTGATACATCATATCAACAGAATGAAGGACAAAAACCATGTAATATTCAAACTGATGCTTAAAATTTTTTTTATAAAACTCAGCATCCCTTGATCATAAAAAAAAAAAAACTGTATATAGAAGGAACACACCTCAACACTACAAAAACTGTGTGTGGCAGATCCATAGTTACTATTAAACTGAACAGAGAAAAACTGAAAGCCTTTTCTCTAAGATATGGAACAAAACAAAGATACCCACTTATATAAAACCACTATTATACAACATAGTATTGGAAGTCCTAGCTAGAACAATCAGACAAGAGAAGGAATAAAAGGCATCCACATAGGAAAGGAAGATATTAAATTATCCTTGTTTGCAGATGGTATGATCTTATATTTGGAAAAGCATAAAGATTCCACCAAGAAACTATTAGATAAATTCAGTAAAATTGCAAGATACAATATCAACATATAAAAATGAGTAGCGTTTCTGTATGCCAACAGCTAACAATCTGAAAAATAAATCAAAATAATCCATTTACAATAGCTACAAATAAAATATCTAGAAATAAACTTAACCAAAGAAGTAAAAGATCTCTACAATGAAAACTGAAACATTGATGGAAGAAATTGAAGAACACACACAAAAAAGGAAGATACTTCATGGTCATGGATTAGAATAATAACCCAACACAATCTACAGATTCAAGGCAATCCCTATCAAAATACCAATGATATTCTTCATGGAAATAGAAAAAAAATCCTAAAATTTATACAGAACTACAGAAGACCCAGAATAGCCAAAGCTCCCCAGAGTAAAATGAATGAAACTGGAAGAATCTCATTACCTGACTTCAGGTTATACTACAGAGCTGTAGTAACCAAAACAGCATGGTGCTGATGTAAAAACAGATGCATAGACCAATGGAACAGAAGAGAGCCCATAAATAAATTCATACATCTACAGTGAACTCATTCTCAGCAAAGGTGTCAAGAATGTACAGTGGGGAAAGACACTCTCTTCAATAAATGGTGTTGGGAAAACTGGGTATCCATATGCAGAAGAGTGAAACTAGACCCCTATCTCTTGCTTACGCAAAAATCAAATTGAATTACAGACTTAAATCTAAGACTTCAAATTATGAAACTACTAACGACAATAACATTCAGAAAACTCTTTAGGACATTAGACTGGGCAGAGATTTCTTGAGGAACTGCACAGGCAACCAAAGCAAAAATGGACAAATGGCATCACATTAAGTTAAAAAGTTAAGTTTCAGCTGGGTGTGGTGGGTTATGCCTGTAGTCCCAGCACTTTGGGAGGCCGAGGTGAGTGGATCATCAGATATCAGAAGTTCAAGACCATCCTGGCCAAGGTGGTGAAACCCCATCTCTACTAAAAACAAAAATTAGTCAAGTGTGGTGGCGCACACCTGTAATCATAGCTACTCGGGAGGCTGAGGCAGGAGAATGGCTTGAACCCGGGAGGTAGAGGTTGCAATGAGCCAAGATCATGCCATTGCACTCCAGCCTGGGCAACAAGAGCAAAACTCCATCTCAAAAAAAAAAAGTGGAGTTTCTCTCCTCTGCATAGCAAAGGAACACCAAAGTGAAGCAACAACCCACAGAATGGGAGAAAATATTTGCAAACTCTCTGATAAGGGATTAATAACTGGAATATACAAGTATAGGAAAAACATTTATTCTGATTGAAAAACGGGCAAAAGGCCTGAATAGACATTTCTCAAAAGAAGACATACAAATGGTGGATACATGAAAAGGTGCCCAACATTAGAATGACTTTTATCCAAAAGACAAGCAATAACAGATGCTAGTGAGAATATGGAGAAAAGAAGCTTTGTACACTATTAGTGGGAATGTAAATTAGTATAAGCACTCTGGAGAACAGTTTGGTTCCTCAGAAAACTAAAAATAGAACCACCATATGATCCAGGAATGCCACTGGTAGAAAGGAAATCAGTATACCAAGGAGATATCGGCACTTCATGTTTATTGCAGCACTATTCACAATAGCCAAGTTTTGGAAGCAACCTAAATGTCCATCAGCTGGTGAATGGATAAAATGTACATATACACAATGGAGTACTATTCAGCCATAAAAAGAATGAGATCCTGTTGTCTGCAGCAATACAGATGGAACTGGAGGACATTGTGTTAAGTGAAATAGGCCGGCCAGGCGCGGTGGCTCAAGCCTGTAATCCCAGCACTTTGGGAGGCCGAGGCGGGTGGATCACGAGGTCAAGAGATCAAGACCATCCTGGTCAATATGGTGAAACCCCGTCTCTACTAAAAATACAAAAATTAGCTGGGCATGGTGGCATGTGCCTGTAATCCCAGCTACTCAAGAGGTTGAAGCAGGAGAATTGCCTGAACCCAGGAGGCGGAGGTTGCGGTGAGCCGAGATCACGCCATTGCACTCCAGCCTGGGTAACAAGAGTGAAACTCTGTCTCAAAAAAAAAAAAGTGAAATAGGCCAGGCACAACATATTTTCACATATATGGGGGAGCTGAAAATTAAAATAATTAAACTCATGGAGATAGAGTAGAAGGATGGTTACCAGAGGCTGGGAAGGGTAATGGTGACTGGGGACTAGGAGAAATGGGGGTGGTTAATGGGTACAAAAATGTAGTTAGAGAGAATGAATAAGATCTAGTTCTGTTTTTGTTTTTTTGAAATGGAGCCTCGCTTTGTCACCCAAGGTGGAATGCAGTGGCACAATCTCAGCTTACTGCAACCTCCACTTCCTGGGTTCAAGCAATTCTCCTGCCTCAGCCTTCCAAGTAGCTGGGACTAGGGTTGTGCACCACCACACTCAGCTAATTTTTGTACTTTTAGTAGAGACAGGGTTTTATCATGTCGGCCAGGCTGGTCTTAAACTCCTGACCACAAGTGATCCAACTGCCTCAGCCTCCCAGAGTGCTGGGATCACAGGCATGAGCTAGTGCACCTGGCCAAGATCTAGTTTTTGGTAGCACAACAGGTTGACTACAGTGAACAATTACTTACTATACATTTTAAAATAACTAAAATAGTATAATTGTTGTTAGTAAGACAAAGAAAGGATAAATGCTTGAGGTGATGGATACCCATTTACCCTCATGTGATTATTATGCATTGTATACCTGTATCAAAATATAGCTCATGTACCCCATAAATATATACACCTTTACTTTTTTTTGTTTTGGAGACAGAGTCTCTCTTTGTTGCCCAGGCTAGAGTACGGTGGTGTGATCTTTGCTTACTACAACCTCTGTCTCCTGGGTTCAAGCAATTCTCCTGCCTCAGCCTCCCAACTAGCTGGGATTACAGGCACCCACCACCACACCCAGCTAATTTTTGTATTTTTGGTAGAGACAGGGTTTCACTACATTGGCCAGGTTGGTCGCGAATTCCTGACCTCAGGTGATCCGTGCACCTCAGCCTCCCAAAGTGCTTGGGATTGCAGTCATGTGCCACCCTACCTGGCCACCATTTAAATTTTAAATGTTTGTTTTAGTCCTTATCTTTTTGGTAGTTATGTATCATTATTTAGAATGGTTTTATGATAATTTATCATAATTAATATGATATTTCTGTGTTATCTCTGGCCAATTTGCTATGCCAAAACAATGTCAGATGACTTGGATATGTCATAAGCATTCAGTCACACTTGGTAATTTTGGAAACTAGTTTTTAGCCAATCGAGTGACTGAATTTCAAGTCTAATGGTGGTGTGTAATTGGTACACATTGAGCTTCAGCCTGCTCTCTGTTTCAGTCACCCCAGACTATGTCCCTCCTCTTGGAAACTTTGATGTGGAAACTTTAGATATAACACCTCATACTGGTACTGCTGTTTCAGCAAAAATCAGAAAGAAAGGAAAAATAGGTAAGTGTGTTCTTTTCCTCTTGTCTTGTGTCCCTAAATGAGCTGCACTGAATTAGCCTAAAAGTTATGTGTATCATGGCATCAATAATTAGAGCAATTGTATAATTGAACCCACTCTTTATTAGATTTATAAATACACTGTAGTTTAGAGTTATAAAATTATCTCTTCTACCTCTAGGCAGTTTCCAACAGGTTGCTTTCTGAGGGCAATGATATTTGGCAAACATGATTATTAATTACTTGAGTCACTTTTCTCTTTTTAATGTAAAAGAAAGGAAACAAAAAGAAGATGGCAGCAAGACATCCTCCTCTGACACATTTTCAGAAGAGAAAAATGCAGAATGTGACCCTACGCCATTACATAGAGGCCAGCTAAACAAGGTATTGGAATGATGGGTGTTTATGACGTTTGTGACATCCCAGTGTGATTAACAGAAACCCAGCTTTATTCTCTTTATTTTACAAAGAAAAACAGCGAGGCAAAACTTTCTTAGGCCTTAGAATAATCTCCTTAGTAGCAAAGTTTGGATTAGACTCTAGGTCCTTATTCCTGCCACACACTGTTGACTGTCTTTTTTAATTATTCTCTTGACTGTTTCACTCCCTTTTTTGTACCCCAGCAGTACATTGAATTCTCTCTTGAAGTATTTGATTAACAGTAGTGGCCTTTTACTTTACATTTGTAGTGTTTACAGAATGAGTTTCATGTGTTTGTAAAATTGCCTGGACCACATTAATCCCAATTATTTCTGTTTATCAGCTACCATTTATTGTATATTTATTAGGCATAGTTTCTTTAATCCTCCTAAGGGCCCAAGTTTAATATTAATAACACATTTAATAAATGAGGAAACTAAGACCCATGGAGGGCAAGTGACTTGCCTGAAGTCACACAGTTAACAAGTGCTCGAGCTAGGATTTGAAGCCAGATCATTCTGGCCCCTAAGCTCATAGTTTTCTATGTTAGACCTTAATGCCTTGATTTGCTTAGTAGATCATTCCTAAAAAGAAACCAGCTAAGGATCTTGATGTGTGACTTGTATCTGCATCTTAAATTAGGTGCTCTGTCTTGGGAATATTTAGGGACTTGGGCTAGAGGGAGTTGTCATAATGAAAATGTAATTTTTTGCATTAAATAAATGCATATTTGCACTTTAAAATTTTTATTAAAATTCGATTAATATATTATTTATTCTCTTTGTTGCTGTGACTTCTCTGCAGGAGATCACAGGGAAGGAAGAAAAGACATCATTGTTATTACATAGTTACCATGCCTTTTTTCGAGAGCTGGACATTGAGGTCTTCTCTATTCTACATTGTGGACTTGTGACCAAATTCATCTTAGATACTGAAATGCACACTGAAGTAAGTGACAGGCTGGGATCGCAAAACTTAATCTTCTTTCAGAGAGTTCCTCAGTTCTATTCTTATTTCAAAAAGAACACTGTGACACTGAGGGGAGAAGTTAGACTGGCTTTACAAGCCTTTGTATGTGAAAGTAACGATGAATAATCATCCTCAGCATACTGGTGTTTATAAGTCATAAGGTTTTTAATAATGTGTTAGACATAAAATATCATGCCAATGGTGTGATACTTACGTTTAGGTTACTACTACTACTGCTGCTAATAAGCTGGCCAGGCGCGGTGACTCACGCCTGTGATCCTACCACTTCAGGAGGCTGAGGCAAGGAGATCACGAAGTCAAGAGATGGAGACCATCCTGGCCAACATGGCGATACCCCATCTCTACTAAAAATGCAAAAAAAAATTAGCTGAGTGTGGTGGCGCACACCTGTAATCCCAGATACTCAGGAGGCTAAGGCAGGAGAATCACTTGAACCCAGGAGGCGGAGTTTGCAGTGAGCCAGAATCATACCACTGCACTCCAGCCTGGTGACAGAGCAAGACTCCGTCTCAAAAAAATAAAATGAAAAATAAGCTACTTTGATTATTTTTGCAGAGGAGCACTCTTCTGGTTTTTAGAGGTCAATTCCCTTTTTCCTTTTTCATGACATTTGTTCAGCATCTGAAAGATGCTTGCTGAGTCCTATTTTGTGTTTGCCACTAATCAAGGCACTTGCAATTCAGTAGTACATAGCGCATGATCCTTGCCTTCAAATAGCTTATAATCTAATCAAAGAAGTAGAAACAGCTAGCAGTACCTTCTTTATTGATGCCGTATTAATGGTCTGAACGAAGGACTAGTGAAACTTTAGTGAGAGAATGATATTTATATTGAAGTTGGGAGTAGAGAACATTTTCACAGAAAAAGTAAACTTTGAGATGGGATTTCATCAGAGTAGAATTTCTCCAGGTTAAGAGAACTTGAAATAGCATTGATTTTTACCTGAAATTTACACAAATGTAGGTACCTTCAGAGCAGAAATAATATCTTTTTTTTTTTTTTTTTTTTGTCTTTCTACATCATCTCGCCCTTAGGAGATTCCACATAAATGTGTATTGAGTGAACAGTTTACAGTGAGACCGTATTTCACCCATTCTCCTCCTGGCAGTGTAATATAGTTATTACACTGGGATCACTCTGGGATCCTGCCCAGAGTTAATAGTAGCAGACCATTAGAGGAAAAGAAGTATGAAAGAATTATTTAATAGAGAAAAGTGAAATTCCCTTGAATTCGTCTTTTTTTTTTTTTTTTTTTTCTAAACCCTGCAGGTGACTTTCAAACTCATTTTTTTAATCACAGGATATTTAGGAAATGCATCTTAGATCCACAGTTGGAAAGGTATACAGAGGAATAGAGAAAAAGTATGTCTTCTAGGCCGGGCGCGGTGGCTCACGCCTGTAATCCCAGCACTTTGGGAGGCCGAGGCGGGTGGATCACGAGGTCAAGAGATCGAGACCATCCTGGTCAACACGGTGAAACCCCGTCTCTACTAAAAATACAAAAAATTAGCTGGGCATGGTGGCGCGTGCCTGTAATCCCAACTACTCAGGAGGCTGAGGCAGGGGAATTGCCTGAACCCAGGAAGCGGAGGTTGCGGTGAGCCGAGATCGCACCATTGCACTCCAGCCTGGGTAACAAGAGCGAAACTCCGTCTCAAAAAAAAAAAAAAAAAAAAAAAAAGTCAGATTCTTGGCCAGGCATGGTGGCTAACACCTGTCATCCCAGCACTTTGGAAGGCCAAGGCAGGAGAATCACTTGAGCCCAGGAATTCGAAACCAGCCTAGGTAACATAGTGAGACCTGTCTCTACAGAAAGTAAAAAAAAAAGTAGCCATGTGTGGCAACACATACCTGTGATCCCCAGCTGGGTGGCTGAGGTGGGACCATCACTTGAGCCCAGGAGGTTGAGGCTGCAGTGAGCTGTGAACACAATATTGCACTCCAGCCTGAGAACAGAGCGAGACCCTGTCTCAAAAATAAGTAAATAAATAAATACAAATCAATTTACTTACCCAGCCGGGCACAGTGGCTCACGCCTGTAATCACAGCACTTTGGGAGGCCAAGACAGGCAGATCACCGGAGGTCAGGAGTTCGAGACCAGCCTGGCCAACATGGTAAAACCCATCTCTACTAAAAATACAAAAATTAGCCAGGCATGGTGGTGGGCACCTGTAATCCCAGCTACTCGGGAGGCTGAGGCAGGAGACTTGCTTGAACCTGGGAGGCAGAGGTTGTAGTAAGCCAAGATCGTACCACTACCCTCCAGCATGGGTAACAGAATGAGACTCTGTCTTTAAAAAAAAAAAAAAAAAAATTCTTCACCCTGGCTATTAACATGAAATAGCCAGGTATGGTGGCTCATGCCTGTCTGTAATCCCAATACCTTGGGAGGCCAAAGCAGGAGGATTGCTTGAGCCCAGGAGTTTGAAACCAGCCTGGGCAACAATGTGAGACCCCATCTCTATAAAATTTAAAAATCAGCTGGGCCAGGATGTGTTGGTTCATACCCGTTATCCTGGCACTTTTGGAGGCTGAGACAAAAGGATCATCTGAGCCCGGGAGTTTGAGACCAGCTTGGACAATATAGTGAAACCTCATTTCTTATTTAAAAAAAAAAAAATTAGCTGCACATGGTTGCATGCACCTATAGTGCCAGCTACTCAGGAGGCTGAGATGGGAGAGTAACTTGAACCCAGGAGTTCAAGGCTAGAATAGCTATGATCTTGCCACTGTACATTTATGAAAAAGAAAAAAAAAAAGAGTTAACATGAAATGACTAGGATATTCTTGAAACTAATCCTTTCATCCATGTGACAGGCTACAGAAGTTGTGCAACTTGGGCCCCCTGAGCTACTTTTCTTGCTGGAAGATCTCTCCCAGAAGCTGGAGAGTATGCTGACACCTTTTATTGCCAGGAGAATTCCCTTTCTCAAGGTTAGTATAGGCAGAAGCATAGGACTTGGGCTTAGTGGATTTGGAAACAAAGGAGGTATTAGTGCTGAAAAAGTTGTCACTTTATCTGGCATTGTGTTTGGGCCACTGGATAGCATGGGTGCAGCTGTATTGCCAGATGATATCCATCTTGCTTTGAAAAGGAAGTCTGAAGGCTAGGTGTGGTGGCTCATGCCTGTAATCCCAGCACTTTGGGAGGCCAAGGAGGGCAGATCACTTGAGTTCAGGAGTTCCAGACTAGCCTGTCCAACATGGTGAAACCCCATCTCTACTAAAAATATAAAAAAGAACTAGCCAGACGTGGTGGCACGGCTGTAGTCCCAGCTACTTGGGAAGCTGAGGCATGAGAATCACTTGAACTGGGAGGTGAAGGTTGCAGTGAGCTGAGATTGCACCCCTGTACTCCAGTCTGAGCGACAGAGTACGTACCAAAAAAAAAAAGAAAGAAAGAAAGTGTACTAGTGCAGTGACTCACCCATAATCCTAGCACTTTGAAAGACCGATGCAGGTGGATCACCTGGGGTCAGGAGTTGGAGACCAGCCTGGCCAACATGGCAAAAGCCCGTCTCTACTAAAAATAAAAAAAAAAAAAATGGCCAGGCGCAGTGGCTTACACCTGTAATCCCAACACTTTGGGAGGTCAAGCCTGGTGGATTACTTGAGGTCGGGAGTTCGAGACCAACCTGACCAACATGGAGAAACCCTGTCTCTACTTAAAGTACAAAAATTAACCGGGCGTGGTGATGCTTGCCTGTAATCCCAACTACTCAGAAGGCTGAGGCAGGAGAATCGCTTGAACCCAGGAGGCAGAGGTTGTGGTGAGCCAAGATGGCACCATTGCACTCCAGCCTGGGCAACAAGAGCGAAACTGTCTGCAAAAAAAAAATTACGTTATCTGGGTATGGTGTCGCATGCCTGTAGTCCCAGCTACTGTGGAGGCTAAGGCAGGAGAATTGCTTGAACCTGGGAGGCAGAAGGTGCAGTGAGCCAAGATTGCACTACTACACTCCACTCTGGGCAGTAGAGCGAGACTCCATCTCAAAAAAAAAAAAAAAGGAAGTCTGAAACAGAAAACAAAGGCACCTAGAATAAGAAATCTTATTTCTTTTTTGTTTGTTTTTTAGATGCGGACTCTTGCTCTGTCACCCAGGCTGGAGTGCAGTGGTGTGATCTTGGCTCACTGCAACCTCCACCTCTCAGGTTCAAGCCATTCTCCTGCCTCAGCCTCCTCTATAGCCTGGATTACAGGCACACACCATCATGCTTGGCTAATTTTTATATTTTTAGTAGAGACAGGGTTTCACTATGTTTGTCAGGCTGGTCTTGAATTCCTGACCTTGTGATCCACCCACCTTGGCCTCCCAAAGTGCTGGCATTACAGGCATGAGCCATAGCGCCCAGCGTAAGAAATGTATTTCTAAATGCTCTGAACATTCCTGAATCCTGTCCTCCCAAACTAAGCCCGGGCCCATGCCTCAGTATAGTAGTAGGCTGTCTAGAGAGGCCAGAACTTGAGGTGTGTATACAGTATACAAATGTGCACCTAGGTGGTGCATATAATAAAATATGAAAATCTTGGGTATACGCTTTTAAACACTAATATACCCAGTTGATTCATTCTTCTTTGTATTCACTATTGGCTCTATGTAGGGTCCAGCCCTACAGGGTTCATGAGCTGCTCCCAGATGGTGCGGAGACAAGAAAGTGTAGAAATAAAAGACACAAGACACAGAGATAAAGAAGAGAGAGTTTGGGCCCAGGGTTCCACTGCTACCCAAATTGAGGAGACCAGTAGTGGCCCTGAATGCAGGACGCTCTCACTTTTATTGAGTTGCAAATCTCGGGGTAGGGTAGGTAGGACAGGGGGCCTTGGTGGTTGAAGACTGGGGGCAGGGTAGATAGGGCATGGCAGTGATAGGGTCAAGTACATCACGTGTCATTCAGGTAGGGACTAAGGAATTTCTGGCACCCGAATTGAGGTAAGGAGCATAATGCATCAGCACCTTTTCCATACTTATCAAGAAAGAACTAAAACATTAAGATTTACATTACTATTACTGATTATCTTTTCTAAGACAAAAGGAACCAGGTGCAGAAGTAGAACTTAAGAATAGACATGGAATGTGACCACCGAAGCACAGCATCACATAGAGACAGTTAAGCCCCCAGATGTCTGTGGGTGTGCCTGACAGCCATCAGTCCTTACCACAAAAGCTTAAAGGAGCAGAGTTTTCTCCAAACTTCCCCAGGAAGGAGATGTCTCAGCCATTTTGGACATCTGCTTCCCTAGCTGGCTAAACAGCAGGCGCTTTCACAGTGCTGGCGCTGCCACACAGCCAAGGTACTCTTCAGCAGCCCTTATGTGGGCATGACAGAGGGCTTAGAGCATCTTGCCTTAGTGTCATTCATTTCACAATGTCACCCCAGGTTCACACTTCCGACCTGATAGGCATTAGTAAAGGAATTAAGATCACCTGTTAATAACTAAGATTACATGTGAATAACTAAGATCACATATGAATGACTAATAATTACTATGATTATATTTCTAGTTAGTTTCTTCATTATTTACATGGAAATAGGCTGAGGCCTTTTGCTCCTGCCTTGGCGCTTGTAGGATTTTCCCACTACAGCTCTACTTTTTCTTTTTGAAACAGGGTTTTGCTCTGTTGCCCAGGCTGGAGTCCTGTGGCACAATATTGGCTCAGTGCAACCTCTACCTCCTGGATTCACGTAATCCTCCCATGTCAGCCTCCTGAGTAGCTAGGACCACAGGCATGTGCCACCACACCCAGCTAATTTTTGTATTTTTTGTAAAGAAGAGTTTCAGCATATTGCCCAGGCTTCTACTTTTTTTTTTTTTTTTTTTTTTTCCCCCAATTATAAGAAGGAGGTTGAGCATGGTGGCTCACTCCTGTAACCCCAGCACTTTGGGAGGCCAAGGTGGGTGGATTGCTTGAGCTCAGGAGTTTGAGACCAGCCTGGACAATGTGGTTAAACCCCATCTCTACAGAAAATACCAAAACTAGCCATGCTTGGTGGCATGTGCCTGTGGTTTCAGCTACTCAGGAGGCTGAGGTAAAAGGATTGCTTGAGCCCAGAAGTTCAAGGCTGCAATGAGCTGTGATAGTGCCATCGCACTCCAGCCTGCGTGACAGAGCAGAACCTTGTCTCAAAAAAAAAACAATTATAAGGAGTCTATTCTACATTTGTCAACGTAAATGATTTCTACTTTTATATGACCCTTATCTGATTAGTTACGATAGGTCTATATGTCTCAATCAAACACTGTTCCTACTCTTCAGAAGCCAATTTCTCAGTTATTGGGAAATAGAGCAGGATTTTTATCCCTCTATCAGAATATAGTCATAGATGAACAACTCATTTCTCCCATCTGCTCTTACCTAGCAACACAGGTGACTTGACTCCATTGCAAACCCTTAGTTTCTGAGAAGCTATCCAGCAGTGTCTTCACCCATAACTCTGAATTTATTATAGAACAAAGGAAGCCGGAATATTGGATTCTCACATCTCCGTCTGAGATCTGCCCAAGAAATTGTTCGTTGTGTTTTTCAACTGCTGACCCCAATGTGTAACCATCTGGAGAACATTCACAACTATTTTCAGGTCAGAAGCCTAGACTTAGAAGCCACTAAGTGAATATAAGATTTCATATTTGGTTGAGAAAAAGGAAAATTACTGAAGCAACTATCCTAAAATCATTTTTATTTTTAGTGCTTAGCTGCTGAGAACCATAATGTAGTTGATGGACCAGGAGTGAAAGTTCCAGAGTACCACATAATGTCTTCCTGCTATCAGAGGCTGCTGCAGATTTTTCATGGGCTTTTTGCTTGGTGAGTATGTGGGAAGTGTGGAGAGAAATTAGTATATACTGCTTTTCCTTGATAATCAGTTACCAAGGCACTGAAATGTAGAAAAGAAAGAAAAGGCTCAAAAACCTTATATAAATGTGGTGCTTTAATTTGGGGGGAGTGTTTTTGTCTGTATTATTTCATTTGGTCTTGTACCCTCTGAGTCCTTTGGAACCTCTATTGTTAACCCATTTGACAAATTAGGTTACTTGCTGATGAGCTCACGTATAACAAATCTGGCCATCTGATCCTCAGTCCAGTTTCCTTTAGCATGCTTTAATTCCAGATTGTTAGGTTACAACCTGAACACAGTGTAAGCTGGGCTATTTCATGATACCTTCGTGGAAACAGTGAGACTTGAGGGAACCCTAGAAAGGTGTATGGCCTTTGAAGAGAGAGGGAAAAAAAAAAAAAAAAGAAAGGAGGTGGTGGAAGGCACAACATGGACAAAAGTAGAACTGAGGGAGGTGTGCCCCTTAAATACTTTTGTTCCTCAGGGACAGGCCTTGGGCTCTCTGTTCTTATATAAGATTTCTGGTCAATTCTGCCCAAGCTTAAATTTAGCCAAAATTTATCTTCTGAGCTATAGGCATTTATATGCAACTGCCTACTCAACACCTCCTTAGATGTGTCATTGACACCTCAGACTCCACATCCAAAATGGAATGTGTCATCCCTAGCACACTCCTTCAGCTTTGCCTGGCTTAGTAAATGGTACCGCCAGTTGCCTAAAGCAGAAACAAGGAATTATTCTTTGTCTCTCCCTCTGTTCTCCACCATCTTTTCCCCACATCTGATTCCTGTTGATTTTATTATAAATAGCATCTAGATTCTAGTCATCTGTCCCTGTTTCTCCACTGCTTCCGGACTTCCATCATCTCTCAACCTGGCTTGGGCTAGGTTCACACTTGACCTCTCACAGTCCATTCTTCACATGGCAGTAAGAGTGATCTTCCTAACACAAACCCAATTTGATCCTATCCCAATTTTGATTTCTGATTGCTGTTAGATTTTTCTTGAGTTATAACTCTCTTACCTAGCCTCTAGGTCTTCTTCTGACTCCTGCTATTCCACTTACTTACACTCTGCCTCCAGCCTCACTGAGTTAATTTTAGCACCCTATATAACTTTTACGTGGGAGGCTTTGCACATGTTCATTCTTCTGTCAGGACCCCCACTATTCTTGATCCACAACTTTTTCTGACTCATCACATCTCTTGAGATCTGGACTTAAGCATCCATCCTACCTCTCTAACACCCAGTTCTCTCCTAACACTCTGGTACCCATTTGTGATAAAACTTAATCAAATTTTATTATAATTACTTGTTCATCCAGGCTTTCCTGCTAGACTTTGAGCTCCATGGAGGCAGATATCTGTCATTTTTATATCCTCAGTACTTAAAAGCAGTGCCTGACAAAAAATTTGAACAATTTATTAAGGAGACTTATAGATGGCTAATAAACATGTGAACAGGGCTGGACATGGTAGCTTATGCCTGTAATCCCAGCACTTTGGGAGGCCAAGGTGGGCGGATCACTTGTGCTCAGGAGTTTGAGACCAGCCTGGGCAGCATGGTAAAACCCTGTCTGTACAAAAAATACAAAAATAAGCTGGGCATGGCTTGAGCCTGTGAGGCAGAGGTTGCAGTGAGTCAAGATTCCAACACTGCACTCCAACCTGGGCAACAGAACCAGACCCTGTCTCAAAAAAAAAAAAAAAAAAAATTCTGGGCACCATGGCCCAGGAAAGTTAACACAGAAAATAAACCATCTCTAAAAATTATAAAAAACAAAAAATAAAATAAATACATGAAAGGATGTTTATTATTATTATTAGTTATTAAAGAAATGCAAATTAAAAGCATGATGAGATAGCATAACACACTCACTAGCACAGCTACATTAAAAAGACTTAGCATGCCAAGTGTTGGTGAGAATGTGGAGCATCTAGAGCTCTCATATGCTGCTAGGGAGACTTTACAATGGTATATCCATATTGGAAATAGTTTGGTAGTTTCTTGAAAAGTTAGACATGTACCTACCAGGTGACTCACCCATTCCATCCCTAGGTATTCATTTACCCAAGGGAAATGAAACCATATGTCCACTAGGGTCTGATATAGGAACATTTTTAGCAATTTAGCCTGTGGTTTTACATAGTATATTCTAAACTTGTTTCCCATCCTTTTTTTTTTTTTTGAGACTGAGTCTCACTCTATCGCTCAGGCTGGAGTACAGTGGTGTGATCTCAGCTCACTGTAACCTCTGCCACCCAGATTCAAGTGATTCTTCTGCCTCAGCCTCCTGAGTAGCTGGGATTACAGGCACCTGCCACTGTGCCCAGCTAATTTTTGCATATTTAGCAGAAACAGGTTTCACCACCTTGCCCAGGCCGGTCTTGAACTCCTGACCTCGTGATCCACCAGCCTTAGCCTCCCAAAGTGGTGCTGGGATTATAGGCTGAGCCACCTCCCTAGTCTTTTTTTTTTTTTTTTTCCCCTGAGATAGGGTTTTGCTCTGTTGCCCAGGCTGGAGTGCAGTGACACAAATCACAGTGTTGCAGGACGAGTCGCTGACACCAGAGTGAGGAAGGAAGAGACTTTATTTAGCTAGCTATGGAGCATCGGTTGACTTGTGTTTAAAAGCCAAGCTCCCCAAAAAGCAGTTTTTTTTTTTTCTTTTTAAAGACCTACAACCCAAGGGGGAGCAGAGGTGAAACTGTGTTATTGCCCATTGGCCAGGCAGCCGACCTTACAGTCTTTGGCCTTCATTGATTTGCTAATTTACATGTAGTGCACACCAGAAGAGGCAAAGGGGGAGAGCTATAGAAGTTGAACAAAGGCAGTAAATTATTTAATGTTAGAGGCATTTTTAAGTAGGGAGGAGTCTGGTTTGCGCCAACGTGACTTAGGGAAGGTCCTTGGGCAGCAGGAAAAACTTTTTTTTTTTTTTTTGCAATATTTTTAAGGCTTATAGATAACATAGGCACCAGTTACAGAGAGGGGAGTTATTTTTTTTAGCCTTCAGGCCCTGCCATGGCCAAGCTGGTGAAGTCAGCATCTTGCCTGACTACTGACTTCAACTTTTTGCTGTTTTACTTCTTTTACCAGCAAACAGCAGGCTGGAAATTAATGCTTCCCCCCACAACAGCTCACTGCAACCTCTGCCTCCCAGGCTTACAAATCCTCCCTCCTCAGCCTCCCAAGCAGCTGAGCTAGGACTACAGGGATGTACCACCATGCCCAGCTAATTTTTGCTTTTTTTTTTTTTTTTTTTTTTTTGGTAGAGACAGGGTTTCACCATGTTGCTCCCAGGCTGGTCTCAAACCCCTGGGCTTAATTGATCCACTCGCCTCAGCCTCCCAAAGTGCTGACATTATAGGTGTGAGCCACCATACCTGGTTCCATTTTTCAGTACAGTAAATTCAACACTTTAAATAAATGAAGTTTATTGTACATCAGCTATACCTCAATGAAGCCATGGTAGACAAACCTGACACCTAATAGGCCCTCAGAATACATTTATTGAAAGGAAGAATGACTATCACTGGTGATGGGGAAGATGCTTCTAGAGGAGAAGATCTAGGAAGTCAGACTGTGCTAGGACTTGAAGATCAGGCAGAATAATTTAAATGTTGTCCGGGGAAGCCATTTTGGAGTTTTATGATCACAGCCATGTTACAATGAAAGCAGTGGTTTAGGAAAACCTTTCTGGCAGGAGAGTGCAACCTTTCTGGCAACAGAGTACAGGCAGATCGAAAAGGGATGCAAAAAGAACACTCAAAAGGTATCACTATGGGCCAGGCGCAGTGGCTCACTCCTGTAATCCCAGCACTTTGGGAGGCTGAAATGGTGGATCATGAGGTCAGGAGATTGAAACCATCCTGGCCAACATGGTAAAACTCCATCTCTACTAAAAATACAAAAATTAGCTGG